TTAAGGGATTATTTATTAAGATTTTTCTTCTTGTACATTTGATTTAAAGATAACCCCGACTACATCAAATGATAAATTTTTTTTGATATTATTTAAAATTTTAGATGATGTGGTTCAATAATAACTAAAAATCCCCTCGTTGATAGTGTTTACTTTCCAACGTTTCTTACAATGATTTGACGACATTTATTTCGCGAACAAGATGTACGATGTATCCAATTTCTTGCTGGAGGACAACAGGCAGACTGATACCAATATTAAAAATCTTCTCTGAAATTGACATGGAAATATCTTATTTGTCTGCTTGCATTGCTTATAGGAAGAAACTAGGAAATAAGACACGAAAAATGAGTAATGACAAGTGAAAATTTTATAACCGGGCAATACGAGAATTTGATTTAAAGATTTTTATTTGTTATTATCTGAGTACGTGTTTGGTACTAGTTGTTGAACACGATTACACACAATAATGACTTTTGTTTTTTTTAAGTTCATTGGGCGCCTCATAGTTTTGAAGAACACGTAAGCTTGAACAAAATTTACTTATTTCAAAACTTACGTATTTTATTTACTTGTAAGTAATGCTATCGATCTAAGTCAAACATGATCCGACATTAATGGTGTGTTTGATAGGTAGGAAATTCCATGAAAAATGGAATTGCAATTCCATCTTTTCATTTTTTTGTTGTTTGATTGTCAAAAATTTTCTTGGAATTTATTTTCCACCTTTTGATGCAACATAGATATTTTCCTTCTTTTTGAGGAATTTTCCTAGATTACTGTAGCAATTTTTTTTCATTTATTTTTTTATTTTTTGACAATGGAAACAAATTCTAAGAATAATTGTAAAAAAATATTTTTCTTTAATTGACAATTTTCATGTAAAACAAAGCCAAACGAATATCAAAAGATAGATGATTTTCTTGAAATTTTTTTTTTTTTGGATTGGCAATGGAAACTAATTTCATCCACAATACCAGTAAAATCTATCCCTTTACTTGATAATTTTCATGTAAAATAAAGTCAAACGAATACCAAAAAATACTTTTATTTTAACATTTTTCACTTGAAAAATTATACCAATCAAACACAATAATTTACAATTCTTAGAAAAATAATTTATAGGCAATTTAATTCCCTGGATTCTTTTTCAATTTAATTTAATTCCATTTTTGCAATCAAACGAATCCTAATATTTGAAAAGCAAGAATGAAAGTTTCTTGTTAATGCGTCAATCTGCACTTGTTGATTCAACTGAATGTTAAGGACTTGTTGAAATCAAATTCTCATTAATTCTAAGCGAATATCGATAATTGACTTGATCAACAAAGTCGTTGATTTAAACTTGAATATCGAGATTGGATCAAAAGAATTTGGAAAACTCAAATTCCAATCTTTAATCAATAACAACTAATGGACATCGTTGTCTTGTTTTGTAACGAAGACAATGGTGAATGAAGGAGAACCATTTGATGGACAATTTTATGCTCGTACTTTATCACTTTTGTCAATATTGTCCTTTGTCCTCGGGTTAAAGATAATTCACCGTCGAATCTATTTCGTATCATGAACTGAAATCTCGTAATAACGGCAAAGTTGATGTATTATCTACCCTTTTTTTTTTAAGAAAGAAACTGGAGAGAGAACCAAAAGAACAACCCAATAATAAATGGACACATCTCTAGATATTTCCTCCACTGACGCGTCCCCCATCTTACGTTAAAGGTTGCAAAGCTTTGATAGTAGTTTAATTAGTCACTTTATTTATTTATTATTCCAAACTCATCACTCAATTTTCAATTTCAATTTCAATTTGCCACCTGTAATGGTTCGTTCACAAAACTTAACTTTCTTTCCCCATGCCAAAAAGATTTTCTTACTCAGAGAATATAATATCAATAAAATCATTAATTGTTCAATTTTACAATAATCACTTATTTCAAATAATAAAAATCATATTCAATGAAATTCATTAGCTTGACTATTATGTTGAAAGAACAAATTTATTTTTAATACAAAGGATGAAAATATAGTACGACAGAATCGAGAGTCCTCCCCATTTATCGCCCTATTTACTTTAAATTAAAAATTAAAATTTCGTGATGGGGATCTTGCCTTGTTATCCATTGGGTCAGGAATGGAGTACTTTTTTATCCCTATTTATTTCCAACTAACATAGCAAAATAATGATAATAAAAAGGGTAATTGGCGCAAAACGTCCCTACCTTTCAACTTCATTGTGTAAAACGTCCTCACCTTTTATTTTTTGACATTTTTGACCTCAAATCAACCTTTCGTTGCGATGAAGGTCCTTCCGTCCAATTGCCACCCATTTTGCCGTTAATTAAAGAGAGAGACTCAATTTCTTGCTGGTCAACAGGGGTAAAATCGTCCTCACCCAACTGAACCCTTCTTCTCGCCTTCTACGTAGTCCACATAGTAACAGTAGCTGAAAAATGGGTGTGAAAATACTTTAAATTATTATATTAAATGAAGGAAAAAACTGTCGTGAAGAACATATATGGTGAAATCCAACCACCAGGTCTACCATTGCTGCTCTAATGTTGGGTTTCTAGAAAAATGTAGCAAGACATGTATTGAATGGGTGGTCAATTTATAGAGACAACTACTAGGTTTTCATTTCTAGTTTATGCTTATTGTGACCATGGGGTAAATGGCGAAGATCAAGTGGAAATGGGTGCTGTGTATTTATCATTTCAGTGATACTGGCTCATTTTGGCTTATTGGTAAAGATGACTGATCTTGTTCACTTTTTTTTGGGAATCTAATGAACATTGCGTTAATAATCCCTACGTAGTTATAATTTTTCTTAAGACATCCCTACCTATAAAAAGTATTGGCGATTGACGTCCCTACCTTTTAGAAAAATTTGCGAATAACGTCCCTACCTTTTAGAAAAATTTGCAAATAACGTCCCTATCTTTTTAAAAAATTTTGGTGAGAGCGTAACCTGTTTTCTTCCATATACCACCTGTTGATGCACACCAACTCAAAAGTCCCCAAATATACAATTCTATCACAGAATTTGAGCACAATTCATCCACCAATTGACCGAAAACTGAAACAAAAATAACCACTACCTGTTGAAGCTAAGATAAACGAAAACTGAAGCAAAAATAGATACATTTCATTTCAAATGTGCAAAATATTCACTCTGCAGCCAACATAAGTTCTGAACATCAAAAATAGGTTCCTAAACACCAAACACAGGTTCCTAAAGTGCTATATTGTATCCACTACCTGATGACAATTTGTGCATTGAACAACAAAAACAAAAGCCAAAAAATTAATAGAACTTGGTAGAGAGTTTTCATCCTAACAAGGTGCTGGAAGTGGGTTGATCATTGCCGGGATTTCTCAGAAATGGAAGAAACATGTTGTTCCTTGAAGCCCTGTGTAACAATAATAAACTTTATCAGAATCCTACACATAATACACTCAATCATGCAAAGCACCAAAATGTGAAATGGAAAACGAAAATACCGACAAATAATGATTCTTACCATCGCGTCGCTTGTTGGAAAAACTCTCAACGTAGGTTTCCACTACGCCGACTGCTGATATGCGCCCATACGAGAGGAGAATGGAGGAAAAATTGTAGAAATGGAAGATAATTGGAAATTTTTGAAGAACTAAAAGGGAATGGAATGGGAACTGCCTCTTGTTGTTCGAAGAAAAAGATGAAAATGAAGGGTTCAGTTGGGTGGGGACGATTTTACCCCTGTTGACCAGCAAGAAATTGAGTCTCTCTCTTTAATTAACGGCAAAATGGATGGCAATTGGACGGAAGGACCTTCATCGCAACGAGAGGTTGATTTGAGAGCAAAAATGTCAAAAAATGAAAGGTGAGGACGTTTTACACAATGAAGTTGAAAGGTAAGAACGTTTTGCGCCAATTACCCATAATAAAAATCCTCGTAACAAAACATGTTTCAAGCGTGGGGACTAAAATAAAATTTCACTAAACATTAGGTGACTTCCATTGTTATTTACGCTTTTCAACTATATCACCAAAAACACGCGCACTCTCTCCCACCTCTCGAAATTTTCTACTATAAAATTTATCCAAAATTTTCATTTATTCTTCATTGAAAATAATCGGTTGAATTGGATCTAAAAAAATGGCGGAGGACAAGTACAATCTGAAAAACCCTGCGGTGAAGAGGATTTTGCAGGAGGTCAAAGAGATGCATTCCAATCCTTCCGATGATTTCATGAGCCTACCTCTCGAGGTTTATTTTTAGAATTAATTTTACTTGGTTTATATTACAATTGTATTTAGCTATTATCTGTTATGGATTTTTTATGAGGGATTTATTTTGAAATATGATTTCGGTTTCATTGCTTAAACTGTCTAATTATGGATTTTTCAAATAAATAATTCAGCTAATTGTCTATTATGGAAAATATTTTCTGATATTTTTTCTTTTAAATAGTTCCATTTTCCATTTCCTAAAATTCCTGCTTAACTGTTTTCGCAATTTTATTCAGCTAATTTGAACTATGATTTCGATTTCGAGATATAAAGGAATCCCTGAAATGACATTGGAAACATTTATTGTCATCTATTATTGTTCATCTGGTTTTATTGATCATCTTGACCATAGATGCGAATTTGCGACTCTCTCTCTCTCTCTCTCTCTCTCCCTCTTAACTATTAAGTATTTTGGGGTGAAAAGGTAACGGGATTTGGAACTACATATTTTGTTTTTACCTAATTTTGAAATTATTTTGTATTGATCATCTTGACCATAGATGCGAATTTGCGACGTTTTTTTTTTTTTTTTTCTTTTTTAACTATTAAGTATTTTGGGGTGAAAAGGTAACGGGATTTGGAACTACATATTTTGTTTTTACCTAATTTTGAAATTATTTTGTATTGATCATCTTGACCATAGATGCGAATTTGCGACGTTTTTTTTTTCTTTTTTAACTATTAAGTATTTTGGGGTGAAAAGGTAACGGAATTTGGAACTACATATTTTGTTTTTACCTAATTTTTAAATTATTTTGATTTGAGTATCATGTATAGTTTTTATTAATCCATATGATTTTCAAGGAATCAATTTTTTTTATAGTGTTTTCTATTGTAATCTATGGAAATGTAAAACCATATAGAAGATTCATTCATTTCTAATTGATTTTGCCGTTGCTTCATGTCTAAATTTTAAATGAAACGCATTGCCCCCTTTTTTTTTTTTTTTTGGGAAACAAGTGATTTTTCACTGAATTGGCTCTTCTTTTTCTGGATATTGTGTTATGACTTCCAAGAAGCAGTTTGAACTCAGGCCCCAAAAATTGTTTTCAGGAAAATATATTCGAATGGCAATTTGCTATTAGGGGACCCCAAGATACGGAATTTGAGGGAGGAATATACCACGGAAGGATCCAGTTGCCCGCTGAATATCCTTTCAAGCCTCCTTCATTTATGCTGTTGACGGTAACTCTCCATTTCTCCTCTATTAGCTCACTGTTTGAGGTGCTTGGAATTTCAATGGGGATGTGTAGTAAAACAGTATTGTTTACTCCTTTTAAGATTTACCGTTGGAATTTTAATTGTATTGACAGAGATTTGCTAATCTAATTTGGATTCCTCTTACAGCCAAATGGTCGATTTGAAACTCAAACCAAGATATGCTTGAGCATTTCAAATCATCATCCTGAGCACTGGCAACCATCCTGGAGTGGTGAATTTTCTTCTTAAGCTATTTCCATCTTCCCAGTGATTCTAGCTCATTATGAAATAACATTATCTATTTTATTATATCTTTTGTATGATATTTCATATGCATTGACTGCATCTTCGTAGCTCCTAAGAGCAGTTATACTAATGTTAAGAAGAGAATTGCAATATAAATTAGTATTCAATATCGGATGAAGTCTACTTTGGATATATTGTGCCTTTTTGCATATACAACACTTTCAAACACGTCATCTGACTGAATAGATTTAGAGTCTTTTCATGAGTATGTAAAATTTTTCAAGCAATTTGTCAAGAGACTACATTGATTCTCACAGTATTGAGTACTATATTGCTATTTCTACATAAAACTTTAGCATGCTAAGTTACTTGATTTCTAGAGAGAGATGTATAGGTGATCTGTAATTTTACAAGAATAAGGGAGGGAGGGAGAAATTAAGATACGAACGTCTTTAATATCATATACTAGAATGGGGCGTATGTTTTGCCATAATCTTTGCTAATAACCAATAATTTCACAAAAATACCCCTATTTTTTATTTTTTGCATGATTAATAATTTATAATGACACCTGTCAATATGGATGATCTTAACAGTTCGGACTGCTTTAGTAGCACTGATTGCATTTCTGCCCACCAACCCAAATGGTGCACTGGGATCCTTAGACTATCCAAAGGAAGAAAGGCGATCGTTAGCAATTAAATCTCGTGAAGCTGGCCCAAAGTTTGGTTCTTCTGAACGCCAAAGGCTTATTGATGAGGTTTGTCATGTCCTGCTTTTCCTGAATCTATACATAATATGCGAGCTCAATACTAATTAATTGTTTGTACAGATTCACGAATATATGCTAAGCAGGGCACCTGGAGTTCCTCAAGAAAACACTACAAAGGTTTCTGAAGTTCCAAATGATAACAAAGAGTGTGGAAGTCAGGGGAGTGCTCGAAGCTCTTCTCCTGAGATCGTTGAGGAAGTGCTTCCAAATCCGGCCGTAGATGATGGTACTGTTGGAGAACTAAACGAAACATCTTCAAATGGAAATGCTGTTCAGACATCAGAACCTGTTTCTGTCATGTACGCTACTGAGCAGCAGCTGGTGCATAAGCCAGAAGCCGGACATTCCAAGAGGGCTGATGACCGCTTCTTCACATATGCAGCTGTTGGACTTACCATGGCCATCATCGTTCTTCTTTTGAAGAAGTTTATGAAAGCTAATGGTTATGGCACTTTCTTCATGGATGAGTCTTAAACAATGGTAAATAGGATTTGAATATGTATAAATGTAATAGCTGTACGAGTGGGAGGGGTATATACTCCAAATTGCGGAGCAAATGCAAAATTCTGTAATTGGATCAATTACTCGAGTTATTTCGGCTTGAATCTTATTTCATTGTAATATCAAATATGGACACGTATATATAACTTTTTCTATTTTTCCGACTTAGAGTGTATGCTACAAAACCATGTAAAGATCGTAAAAACACTTCTCCTCATGGTAAGCAGACTGGATTGAATTCCCTATTTTAGCTTTTTAATAAACGGTTAAAAAAACAATTGTTACAGTGCTTATTCCCTACAAGCTTCTTGATGTTCTCCCACTAATGAGAACATTTAAAAATTATATTCACAAACTAAAAGAAAAAAAAACAAATTTAGACAACATTCTGCAATTACATGAAGTG